AAAGTCATGTACTATAAATCAAATCCTATAATTATCCAGCTAATAATTAATAGTAAATTAACTCCTCACCATTTCATTGGCTAAACGATTAAAAGATCGATCATCCAACCACAGACTGAGTTATTTCCAAACTCATCAGTCACTAACAAAATACCTATACCAACCCACTTTTATATTTTCGTGAAGGCCTAATGCGTTTATTTTTGAAGCATTAGAGCGCATAGGTTCATCAGGACTATGATAAAAAAAGGTGGGATGGAGTCTAAAACTGCTCAAGTCGAAAAAGGCAAGGGACAGGAGCGGATGAGAAAAAGTCAAGATCCAATCATACCGGGTCGAGAGGTAAGGGGAGCAAAGACGGTGGCAAATGACTTGGTCAGCATGCTGCTGCCCGGTTTAAGAAACAGACCAACAGACGGATGTAGGCCGGTCATAGAACCCCTTCCAGATCCACCTGCTCCACCACCAAGATCCTTTTGCTGCAGCTGTCTGGCGGTTGTGGTGCTGGTAGTGAACGCCGCCGAGGGCAAATCAAAGAGGTAGTTGTGGGCCTCCAGCCTGGCCGCTCGAGGCTCAATCAGCAGGCAGTTGGCGTTCAGAGGCGTGAGGTTAAAGAGGACCTCAGCCAAGCCGAGGGCCCCACAGTGCTGAGCCACTCCCCGTCGGAAAAGCCAGTAGCTCTCGGCATCGGAAAAACGCCGAAAAGCCCAGAGGCGCAGGGTTGAGGCACCACCAGAGCCATCGCGGCCATTGAACTCTTCGTTTAGGACTCCCAAGCTAAAAAAATAAGGCAAAAAGACGGCATGAGAAGGCCACTGCATACTGATTATTTGTGAGTTATCAGTGCGTGACTATTTGCGGAGGTTCTAGAATGGAGATCTAAGTCAAAGTGGAGAGCGCGTAACCCCGGCTGCAGACAAGGCGAAAGGTTAGGCATCACCCCGACATTAATTTAAAATTATCTTGTCTTAGCTGATTGACCTCGGCAACGAATGCTTGTACACGGTAAGAGACTACTTGGTAGGTGCTCCCTATAAACATCACCGTACCATAGTTTACTATGTATATCTAACTACATATTTGATTGTAGTAAGCCTGTTTTGTCTTATCATTTCATGCAATCCTGGATCGCAGTGCTTTTCACACATTATGTATCTACGGCTTTTCTTGTGTACGTATTGAGCATTTAACACTCCTTTGCACTTCCTAGATGGAATCCTTCCCCCTGATATGCTCCACCTACATACCACCTGCCCCGTATTACACAATCCTGGGTTTTGGTTACTGTGTTGATGTTTACAAGGAACCCTTACCGACTACTTATTACAGCGAGTAGTTACTGCCAGTGCCGAATAAAGCAAATGTACAAAGTAGTGAAACAAGAAAAGCTGGAGATGGGTGGAGGTGAAAAGCACCAAATGAGTGATTGATTTGCGTCTACAGGGCTGGAACTCAAAATACTGTTCGTTGGAAGACGAAGTTCATGGCGTAGTTGAGACTGATTGTACCGTGAAACACAAGCAAGGCAGACAGCACGAAATTGCATCGCAATGGACGTTTTCTGACTGAGCTAGCAATAGGCTACAAGCAACTCACAAACACACGTAAATTGCTCACGACGATTCCATGGTTTCTGCATGGAACGGATTCATGTACCAAAGCCTACGAAATAGTTACGTACACATTAGTAAACTGATGCAGCTGCTAGATATCAGTACGATATCTCAGTCGGTAGGATGATAGAACTCTGACTGACGAAGTTGTGGTACTTGTGTCCTTCTAGTTCCCAGTGTGTGTGCTTAAGGGTTTATAAAAACCTACCTTTATAAGTACAATAGATAATTACCCATATGCTATTTCGCCTTCGCTCAAACCCTTTTGAGAACTGTAGACAAACAGTTTCGCATAGGCTTGAGAACTGAGGGGAAAACGCAAAGATAGGAAAGGCTTTCTGCTCCAACTAAGGCGTCTTCTTACAAGTGATTACTTTGTATTTCATCAAAAAAGATTAAAAAAGTCAGAGAATAGTAACAACACTATCAAGCAAGGCGCAGTAAGGGTGCCATACAATTTTTTACAGATGAAAACATGCTCATTTAGTAAACTCTAGCCCAAAGCAC